GTAATATTTATTGTTAAATGTCTGCGTTTTATAATATTGTAAAACGCTGTGGAATATCTTGGTGCTATATAAATGCCAAAAATTATTACTTTGTGTACTTGTCCACAAGACTCCTTGTGTATTTAGCCTTTGTTTGTAATGCTAGACCTTAAATGGAAACTCTGGGCACCATAAGTACTTCACCTCATTTAGTGTTTTAAAATAGTTTGAAGTCAAATGAATGAGGGTCCCCAGCCACCTGCAGTCTGACCCCTCTCTGCGTCTGGCTTTAATAGTTCCCCATCAGGCCAACCAGAGATGGGCAGCAGATGTAGGCTGATCCTGAGAGCATCATTTTGCACCCATTGTTGGTATGGCAATTGCTGATTTGCACAGCACATTAACCACAAATTCAGCAATAGGTAGAGCCACAGGCACTCAGGCATCCATTTTGGAATGGTTTAACACTGAACTATGGGATGGCATCTGAGCAATCCAGGCACTATTACCACTACAGTGTCGATACTGACCTGAACCTAACACCCAAACCTAGGTTTATACAAGGAAAGTATACGGTCCCTAGAGTCGCCGGGCTAGCACTGAGAGATAAGTCAGAATGTCTGCAAGCAGACACAGAATTAACATTAACAAGCCAAGGTCAGAGATAACAGAGGCACACAGAACTGAGAAACAAGCCCTGGGTTACAGAGATCAAGGATGGTCAGACAAGCCAAAGCCAGAAAACGAAATACTAAGTAATATATAACGCACTCTGGGATAAACAGAACCCACGACAGGGCAATAAACTAAGAACAACCAGAAAGTTAAATACCCTATGCTGTGTAGTGATTGGTTACATGTATTAGTGATGTCATGAGAAAATGACATGTCATAAATATATAAAGAGGCAAAGTTTGAGCATTCCAAGTCATGTAAGACTTCTGGACGACACGTTATGACATTGAACACGTGTGGAGCATTGAAGGCCACAATCAGAGGTATCGGGTATGGTGAAAATGTGCCGTAGCAGGGATTGTGTGGCGAGAAGGTAACACATCATAAGGGAGATTAAGTGTCCATTTTAAAAAGGGAGAATTCATTTTGAATTTGTCATGTCATAACAAGTGAACCTGTGAATGATATGGCTTGCTACAGGGACAAAATTGAAAAATGTACAAGGAACCTTACGTTATATTTTACAGTGTATTCCACATCCCTCCTAAACGCTTTAACAGAAGGAGGACCTTCTTATTGAAAGGGGTGGATGGGATCTTGTGCTTGGTGACTTCTGATACCATCTGAAAACTATAAGCGATTCACATTTAGTGATTTAGGACACTGCGAAAATATTTTCTTCCCAGACTAATATGTAAACACATTTGCTGCAGTTTACAGTCACATTATTAAGAAGTCAAGTAACAAAATTATTGGACAATCTATTGTGTTTATTCAGATTATTGTATATTTTATTGCTACACAGAGCACAGTAAAATTGTTTGTCGTTGTTTATTTCTGTGTTGCATTCCTATGAAATCACTCTTTATTATGAGTTTATTGCTGTGGAGCTCTGTGACAATCTCATCCACGCCACACATTTTTTAGATTTTCATTATTGGGGAGCACTGTCAATTCACTACAAGCCTCACATTACTGTACATTTTATTTCTCTACTGTTTTGTGATACAGTGTTACACACGCAACACATATTACTACGCGGTTTATACTGTGAAATTTTGGGACACATTCTCCATACTTTACAGGGCACCCGCATTTTGTGCTACAGTCCTGATTTCAGTGATCTGTTCCACCATCCAGATTTAGGTCCCTTAGACATCTTATCTGCATGGTCCTGTAGGCTAGGGGCTGGCCGGGAGGTTGTCTGTCAGGCAATGCCCCCTTAAAAATATGCCCACCCATCTTAATTTTAAACCTCCCAATGTTGAGAGATATGACTGTGTAATTGTGAGTTTCATTGCTGAGGAGTTCTGATACACTTATATACACTTTATTTTGCTGTGAACTTTATTGCTGTGGAGCTCTGTGATACCCTGATACACACCTCATTTTGCTGCCAGTTGCAACCCTGTGGAGCTCTGTTACTTATTAATATAAAGCAAACATTCTAAGCTCTGTGAAAATAGAGTCAAGTGAATTTAGACCAAAAGATAAAAAGAATTATCTCTGACCCAAAAAGCGTCAGCACGCTTTGCTAGACAGCGGCCAGGTTTCTTACGCACCCCGAAATGAGTAAATCGCTCCCCGCTTCTTTACCTGCACGATAAATTCACTGTTACACTGATGCTTTTCTACATTAATTTCAGTGACCTTTCTGTTGTTTCTACATTTATATCTTCTACATAAAATGCTATTTGTGTCGCCTCCTGTTGCCCTTTCTTTTTATTATAGCGTATAATGACATCAGGTGGCGTAGCCGTGTGGCGCGCACTGAAAAAGTGAAAATTTGAAGTGACATTAAAACACCAGCTTGCAAACATGCTCCTGGATTAAAATGACAGTGTTTACGAGAATGACTGGCTGAAGGTTTCAAGGCTTGAGAATGACTGAAACCTGCGTGAATTAAAGTTTCTACCCTGCGGGTTATATAATGAACTCTGATATTAAGTGTCAGAACACTCAAGGCCATTAAAACCGGCAGGTCACTTAAAAAAAGCTTTACATTAAACCACCAAAAAACACCAGAAAACTGTTTTTATGCTATTTTCTTTAGAAACATGTTGAGTTATTTTTTATATAAAATTACAACCTGTATACTTTGTCACTCGTGCTATGAACGTTATACATATAAAATTCCTTCTCTCTATGGTAATTTGCAACAATTATAGAAAAAGTAATAAAGATTTATGGGGACACTCCAGGTTGACCCCCTTTACCCCTCATCTACCCCCCAAAAAATAAGATGTCCATACATTTTGTAAATAATAAAAGGCTTTTGTAACTGTATTCATATATAGTATAAAAAGGTTTGAAACATAGAATGTGACGGCAGATAAGAACCATTCGGCCCATCTAGTCTGCCCAATTTTCTAAATACTTTCATTAGTCCCTAGCCTTATCTTATAGTTAGGATAGCCTTATGCCTATCCCACGCATGCTTAAACTCCTTTACTGTGTTAACCTCTACCACTTCAGCTGGAAAGCTATTCCATGCATCCACTACCCTCTCAGTAAAGTAATACTTCCTGATATTATTTTTAAACCTTTGTCCCTCTAATTTAAGACTATGTCCTCTTGTTGTGGTAAAGTGCAGTATAAACTATAAAGTGCAATATATTTTTAAACAGGTAAGTATACTGCCAAACAATTTATTGTATCACAGTATATAGTCAGGTAAGTTCAATATGACAATGCATAAAAAAGAGAAAAAATATATATATATTTCTACACACACACACACACACACACATATATGTATATGTATATGTATATATATATATATTTTTGTAGTCGGGGCAATGTAGCCGTACACAGAAACCTAGCATATTATAACCATAACATCGATGAGTTTGCACCAGTCAGTTGTGGTGTGCCTGTAATAAAAGTGGGCCCACCTTAGAGGGTGCTATGAATAGAGGGAGTGGTGGGAGGGGTGACTCGCCAGACCAGCAACGGTAAGGTGAGAGAGGATTGGCAGCCCTTTTAAAGGGGATCCAAGCCCCTCCCACAACTACAGGCCAAGCCTTCAAATATATACATACATATATAGTATAACACTGATAAAACAGTTATTTATGTTGTATTGTTTAAAAAACACTCACAAGTATAGAGCAGAAAAATATCGTAATATCGTGGTACTACATACCAGTGAGACTGTTTTTATTCTATATTTTTAAGAAAATCCGGATGAACTTTATTTGATTTTATTACCGCTGTTTATTTTACATATACACGATCTTATATATTTCAACATATCTGTTTTACCTAAGCGCAGCCCTTGACCCCCTCTTTTTTCTAATTATATTAGCCCCATAGCAATCCTGGATCAATGCAGGCAGATAGCTGTGATCGGTGTAATGGAAAACCATTCTCCACTCCGTTGAAGCCCGGCTCCAGTTCTTCCGGTCTGTCTCTAGGCTATACCAGACATCTGAGTCTGGGCGTCGGGTAACGCTACAATCCTTCCGGGAGGCAGGGTTTCCAGACTCGATTCAGGTAGATGGATGACACGTCGCTATGATGATGGCTTCTTCAGATCCACCTTCCATCATAACCTTCGGTTTTTCAGCACTCACGCTGTTGTGGATTACATCTCCCATAAAGCTCTAACAGTCATAATGCTGGCAATGGGATCATGATCAGACACTATAGAATGTGCACAAACCTCTCTTGGGAAAAGAGTGGTCTTTCAGCTGCAACATTTAACTGTGCAAGTGCTATGAACCTTAAAAAGTAAGTCATATTTTTTTCTGGTCTTTAAAGTGAATCCCAAATTTTAGGCTGCAGTAGCTGAACTGTAAAAAATCCCCAAATCAGCTCTGCTTTCCGGCTACTTTTGCCTAAAATTTACTTTGAGTTCACCTTGAATACTCAACAATCCACACTTTATTGAATAACCCTGTTTGTGCTACTAGTGATCCATCGTATTATTCAGAAGTTGTTACATAGAACAATTGCTACTCACCGAATTGTAAGCCAGTCCTTTATTGCTACGCCTGATGTTTGCTCATATTAAATAAATATAAATAACCCTTTTAAACAATACATCATAAAGAGCAATGTGCCCAGAAAGCTGCCATCTCACTCAATGACATTAACACAAACAGACAGCTAATTACACAGACACAAAAGGCTGATCTCCAATATGTACTCAGGTGAGACAATACACTTATAGAGCAAGTCTCACGTTGGTCATAATGTCAAGGAAAGCACAGAAACTACAAATGAAATCTCTATTATAAGATGAAAAAAATAAATAATAAAAACAAAACATGCACCTTATGTTATTCCTGATTGCAGGTCTTTGCAGTTTCATTTCTTTCTGTTTTAAGTTTGAATTCTGCTTTATAAAGTGGTGTGCACCCCGTATTGCCCACATGTGTTGTGCATTTCTATTTGTTTTCTTTCGATATATTTCTATTGTATCTATGATCTACTGTTTGTTTGATGTATGTTTATTTTCTCATTTTTTGAAAACTATTAAACATGCAAAATGTGGATAGACAGACAGAAAGACAGAGACAAACAGATAAATAAATGGATAGACACAGACAGACAGACAGATAGATATATAGATAGACAGACAGACAGATAGACAACAGACAAACAGATAGACAAACAGATAGATAGATCTTAACGAAACCAGATAACGCAAAGAGCAACCAGCAAACCTAATGACTATCAAGCATCTCCACCAGTTTCTCTGCATTCCCAGCTCCGATAATTCATTATTCAGGGCCGATTCTTCTATATCCTGCTGACCAAGTTCTTTAAAGCAGATGGATTTTGTTTTTGCCATTGAACCTAAGAATTGCAGCACCTGCTGATGATTCTGCCTGTCACCTATATGATTAGAAGCAATAAATGACCCGTACTATGTATCTGGCTTTTTTCTTGACAGTTTGGGTTTAGAGGCATATTACTTTGCAGGAGTGCAAAAAGAATAAAAAAATAAAAAGAATGTAAAAAAAAGCCAAAATGTATTTTCATAGCCTCAACGTAGACACAGAATGAAAACATCTATCTATCTAGAAGCTCGTTTTCTATGAGTGGTTGTGCCTGAAGGTAGAGAGAAAAAACAAACATTGATAGCAGCCGGTGTAATACGCCTGGTTGAAGAGCCGTATCTTCAGTTTCTTCCTGAATGCAAAGCAAAAAAAAAATGTTTCTGAAATAGATGGAAAGTTCCCTTTCCTCCCTCTACAGATATTTTGTGTCTATTCCTTGCTTTTCTGGGATTTTGCTTTTTAGCACGCATTGAGTTGTGGTCTGGGATTCCCTGACACGGGTGGTGAAATTGAGCAGCTTTTGTAGAGACTGAGGACCTTTTGCTAGTACGGACCAATGTGTTATCATAGAAAGTTTGAGCAATACTCTTTTTTTCTACCAAACTTCATTGTAGCTTTTTTATTCTGGCATTTTATATTCTTGTAGTGATTCTGGTGGCATTTTCTAAAAGGCTTGCAGAGATAAAAGACAGCCTGGCATGTCTATTGCCTAAACAGAGTATATTACTCCAGCCCTTTCTAGAGAGTCCTACAAGGTGCTGTTCTGGAGCAAAGTGCTAAATAAGGAACCATCACCATTAAAAGCAAATTAACGTCTCTCAATATTGAGCACATTGCACCCCAAACATTGTCTGTATTGACTTGATAACTCTCCCCCATTGTGATAACTTTGATGTATTGTTAGTGCCTTCTGAATTCTCCTTTTTTTAAATCTACAGTAGTTATATGGCTACTGTCTCAGCATAGTGAGTAGAGTTTGGGGGGGAAACAGACAACATGATTGTTCACTTATTATGTTACGGAATTAATAATATTTTAATCCCTTTGCTGCTGTAGGTCCTACTAACCTCTTAAATTAGTGTTTAACTCTTGATGTCTATACATACATCATTGTATATCATTACTTTTTACATACATTGTAAGAAGTGATGATCTCAGCCAACCACAATGCTTTCCCAGAGGAAAGCATTGGATTGGCTGAGATTGTCAATTCTGATGATCTCAACCAAGGAGGCGGGCCAGGGGTAGAGCCAAATGCAACCCTGGCCAATCAACATCTCCTCATAGAGAGATTCATTGATCCTCTATGAGGAAAGTTCAGTGTTTCCATGCGGAGGGTGGAGACACTGAATGGCAGTCACACTGTGCAGCACTGCCCCAGGAAGTCCCTTTATACGCCATCTGAGCAGCACTGTACAGGAAGCACTGACTGTACCATGATATTATGCACACAGACCTGTATTATCAATAAAATTAAGCTTATATTTATTGGTACCTCCAACAAATGCAATACATACATACACTCAGACTGCTGAACACATTCACAGACAGACTGCCGAATACACACACACACACCAACTGCTAAATACATGCACACACTGACTGCTGAATTCACGCACACACAGACTGCTGAATACACACACAGACTGCTGTGTACACACACAGACTGCTGTGTACACACACAAAGACTGCTGAGTACACACACACAGATGGCTGAGTACACACAGACATGTAGTATACAGAGAGCAGCACTATACAGGGAACACTGACTATTCTGTGATATTAAACAGACACAGGCCTGTAGTATACAGAGAGCAGCACTATACAGGGAACACTGACTAGTCTGTGATATTAAACAGACACAGACCTGTATAATACAGAGAGCAGCACTATACAGGGAACACTGACTGTCCCATGATATTATACACACATACCTGTATTATACAGAGTTCCCTGTATTTGCTGCTCTCTGTATAGTACAGGTCTGTGTGTATAATATCCTGGGACAGTCAGTGCTCTCTGTACAGTGCTGCTCTCTGTATAATACAGATCTGTGTCTGTATATTGTCACAGAATAGTCAGTGTTCCCTGTATAGTGCTGCTCTCTCTATAGTACAGGTCTATGTGTATAATAGAACAGAAAAATTAGAAGACAGGAACTTATTAAATCTAAAGGAAATATAAAAAAGAAAAACAATGCATATAATGAAAGCAAAATAAAAATTCCCTTTATATGCAACCACAGCGGAAACAATGCCACTATAAGAAAAATTGTTAAAAAATACTGGCCAGTCCTACAAGAAGACCCCATTTTAAAACAGATTTTACCTCCCAAGCCGATGATAGTGTATAGAGGATGTAAAAATCTAAAACAAATGGTAGTTAAAAGTAGTTTTAAAAATAAAAATACAGAACATTTTTTAAATAAAAATAAAGGTTTTTATGGTTGTGGATCCTGTCTAGCCTGTAGAGGTACCAATCAGAGTAAAAGACATATCACCTCCTTCAACTACCAAAAAGATAAAAAATTCACAATTAATAATCTATTAACATGTTTTTCAAAAAATGTCATTTATACTCTTAGATGCCCGTGTGGTCTGATGTATGTAGGCAGAACTATTAGAAGCCTACATGTCAGGATTGCAGAACATGTAAGAAACATCAAAAAGGGTTTAGAAACGCACAGTGTATCGAATCATTTTAAGATACACCACAATAGTGAACCAAAAAACATGTTCTTTTGCGCCTTCAAATTGGTACAAAAAGATTGGAGGGGAGGAGATTTTAATAGAAAAATAGGAGAAGAAGAGATGAAATTTATTTATAATTTTAAAACGCTTATCCCACACGGCCTTAATCAAGATTTCGAATTATGCCACTTTTTATAGTTCCCCCTTTTTTTTTTTTTTTTTTAACCATCCATTAGTCGTAAATATATGTATTTATTTAGAGATTAATATAAGATTAAACCAAGATCTTGCAAGACCATGTATAATAATATTTTTCAGAACATCATAAAAGCATTGCCACTTTAAGCACACAAGCATCAAGCCACTTATGAGCTGAGTTTACATTAAAAGTAATTGCACACTGTCACTTTACAAATCTGAGGAAATAAGGGTATAATGTATATATATCTCCATGGTAAAATTCTGTTTCAAATGATCCATTAACATTACTTTCTCTTTCTTTTTCTTCCCTTTCTCTTTTTCTTGTTTAAAATTGAAGCCCTGTGTAGAACAGCCTTTTTGAGCCAAACAATTGCATTCCTAAATACTGATTAGGTTATGTTTAGAATCATGCACCGTCACTTTAAGAACTTAGCTATCCAATTGTTAATTTTAAAGCTAAGTGTTTTGTCACCACAAAGAGTCTGTTAATATATCCATTTATCTTGTCATGTACCCAGGTATATTTACATTTATAATGGTCAATTAGTATACAGTGATTATCACATTAATATGTTAGTGAACTTATTATTTAATTATTAGCCCGAGAGGAATATCCATCGAAAGAGTATTCCACAATGCAAATTAGATATCACGTGCACGAAACGCTATACACGTGATGACACACATGACCGAAGCCAGGAAGTAAACACAGATCGGAGAATGGAACGCAAGATGCGTTCCACCTACGAAAAGACCGCCCCACGTGATTGTCCGCATTTTACAGAACCCGGAAGTAACCAACGATTGGAAGATGGAACGCAAGGTGCGTTCCACGCTGAAAAAGACCGCAAAACCAACGTTTAAAGGCAGAGAAGGACTTAGAGACTAGTACACAGCCAACTGAGGAAGCCCAAGAGGCGAAACGCGTTTTGGCTGTTATTTCACACTTATCTTTCCTATATATGTATTAATAAATTATATTTTACTTTACATCTAATTGAATCCCTTGCTGTTTATGGTGGAACAAGAAAGTATCCTTGGACATCCAGAACACCTCCACAGGGATTTGGATCACCCCCAAAAGATCCTGAGGCCTTGATACCAGAGCCAGGTCCAATTGGCTCTACGTTTGTGAGTGTTTTCATCTATCACCTAGCCACACCTGTCTATAGCCATCTGCACTATTGTGTGTACCTCTCTGTCTCCACAGAACTACAAGTCGAGAAGAGAGGACTAATATTGCTCCATCCATTTTTTCCTGTTCTGTATGTATTTAACAGTGTTGGTATAGGGGATCCTACACGGGTGTTTTAGAGCAATCTATTTGTATCACTATTTGTGCATACCATTTGTTTTGTACTATGTGTATAATATCCTGGGACAGTCTGTGCTCCCTGTATAGTGCTGCACTCTGTATAATACAGGTATGTTTATATAATATCCTGGGACAGTCAGTGCTCCCTGTATTGTGCTGCTCTCTGTATAACACAGGTCTGTGTATAATATTCCGGGTCAGTCAATTCTCCCTGTATAGTGATGCTCTCTGTATAATACAGGTCTGTGTATAATATCCTGGGATGGTCAGTGCTCCCTGTATAGTGCTGCTCTCTGTATAATACCCACAGACTCCAGGAACTAGAAGAATCAGAAGCAGTGGAGTGGTGGCTGAAGCCTCAATCTGAGACATTCAACATGTAGAATTCGGGACATGAAAGACGTGAAAAGGGGCCAATAGAATATGTTCATATGTTTTCATTTTGCACCCATTTCTCTCTTTAATTCCATTATGTAAATTCTTCTTCTATATCTTTCTTTTCCTATTTTTAGCTTTTTTTTTCTATCACTCCCCAATATAATTATTTTTGTGAACTAATGTATGTTCTATGGTGTAGGCACAGCTCTCTGACTGAAGTACATCAGCACAAGGTCTTTCTATATTTGTACTGACAGTGTTACCACTGATACCCAACTCACATTAAAGTGATAAAATGTACCTTCCTGATATAGATACTGTGCTGCGAATGTATCAATCGCACACCAAGGATGATGGTACTGTTGGTGGGAACTTGGTGTTATCAAGGTCTATTCAATAAAGAGAGAATTGCAGGGAATTGTGATGGGAATTTCAAACTTTAGGCCAAACCAGTGCAGCTGAATGGGGAAAATTTTCCAACTCTGCTACTTTGGCCTTAAGTTTAAAATTTCCATCTCAATTCCCTGTAATTCTCTCTTGATTGAGTAGACCCTGTAATCTGCACTATAAGTAGACAGAGATTAATTATGTGGGTTGGACATAGTGGGCGGAGTTTTGTGGCAGTGGGTGTGGTCAATTTTCAAGGTAGGCATTAATATCCGTGCTGCAAAGTGTCCCTGGGAATGATTTCAAATGTTGGCAACTATGTGGGCAGGGACTTGTTCTGGTGACTATAGTGTCCCTTTAACTTTTCCACTTTGCGCCAAGATGAGGTCAGTGTAATTTTCCAAAGTATAAAAGTTGTTGGAATTATCTACACATCAAAGAAAGGAATAATTGCAGCAGGGTTATAACTTGATCTGAGCCTGTAGATAAGAAAGCATATGTCATTCAGCCAAATAAAAAAATAAAAAAAATAATTAAATTGAAAAATAGAATAAACTTACCTTTATAACTTCATAGTTAAAATCATGGCATGAACTATCAGGAGAGGAAAGACACCACCACAATAGCACTAACGCGGTTTGTCATTCATCATCTCTGATGTAGTACACATGAGGCACGAACGATTTCCAGCTGTGATTTTAACTACAAAGTCATAAAGGTACTGTTTGTTTTTTTTATTACATTTTGCAATGTTTAGGTGTAATTTTCAATTAGATATAAAAAGGTGGTATTTCCAACACCTAGCATGGAAACAAGTGTTACATATTAATATTATCGCCATTTATATAGCACCAACAGATTCCATAGCGCTTTACAATATTATTAGAGGGGAGATTTAACTATAAATAGGACAATTACAAGAAAACGTACAGGAACGATAGGTTGAAGAGGACCCTGCTTAAACGAGCTTACAGTCTATAGGAGGTGGGGTATAAAACACAATAGGACATGGCATTTATTTATAAATAAACTCTGTGTCGCGATTGTGTAGACTTGGTAAATGCTAATTTTAGGATACAGCACCTGAGTTAGAAAATATATGCTTTGGAGAATTTGGCCAATGAAAATTAAAATTCCCTGCAATTCTCTACAATTTCCCAACTATCAGGATTATTGACTGAAATAAGAATTTGAGGTGAATTTTTAAATTTAAGGTCAGAGTAGTTGAAGTAAAAGCATAGCTAACTTAGAGTATTATTCCAGTTTAATTATTTTGATTTTAAATTTGCAAATCACTTTGTATTCTCATTCCAGTAAATAACCCTTAGTGTGAATAAACCCAAAAGTCTGCAAGAGTGCTATAGAACCAAAACTAGGGACTATTCCTGTAAATATGGGCCTGTTGGCACGTATGAAAACTGAATGAGCTATCATAATAACTTGTAACAGATTCTGAGATAGCTGTATAGCTTCCACTTTGATCTCAGTAACTGTATTTACTTCCTGTTGCTTCAGTCTTTTTCTATCCAGCATGACAACAGAAACAATGCTTTGGTCCTCTTTGGGCAATACATGAGTTAATTTTAATTTGACATTGCAAGAGGGGAATATAAATAATTCCATAAGAGGAGATTTTAGAACAAGTCACATTACAGAGCAGAGTGCCTGTCTACTTTATATAAAGATTAGAATGCAAATGTAAAATTTACAGTGTAACTATGCAAATAAGGCCTCATCTCGGGAGTGTCTCCCTGTTGAAATAATTTTACATAAATACATAAAATTTAAAGCATCATTTATTGTGAGAGGCAGCAAGGCGGAATAAATAGGAATAGCTAGCAAGGAATAGATTTTATCTGTGGCAACGCGAGAGAGGGTCTTTATTTAACATTAGGAGGACAAACTTTCATTCGAACTCCCACCTTAGGTGGAGAACCCAGATTAACCTTTTCACTATCACCAGGAATGAAGCCCAGGGAACAGCTAAGAGGAGTGGGCCTTGACCTAGCTAGGAGGCAGGCATATGGATAGGGGGAGTGGATTATAGAATTTGGGAAGGGGTGGCCTATAGCCACATAAATAGCGGCCATTTTAGGGAGAACCCTCTTTTAACTAACTTACCTGTTGTTGCTGCAGCACGTTGGTGTTCTTTCTTTTGTCTTTCAGGTTCCATGGATCCGGAGCGTGATGTGGAGGCCTTTATTAAAAGTATCCGGGCTGCCACGATGGATCATGATGTGGCTTGGTTGCAGGACCGGTGGAGAATAACAATTGGCTCAGCAGGCCCAGCTGGGCTCCAGTTGCGACGGACAGCACGGCAGACTTGGCCGCTGCAGAGGCTCAGCCCTGGAGAGGAGACACTGCTGTTCCGGAAGAGAACCCCTTCCCGCATGACCCACACATCTAGGAAGGGTAAAGAAGGCACTCGGTTACCGACTACAGATAGAGGACAAATCACATGTGTGGCTGCATGCCTTGGAGGTCCACCGCAAAGTGAGGCGTGCGGCCAAGAACACGTGACCACGCAATTTCCGGCGGTCACAGGGGAATATCAAATGGTGGCTGCAGCCTTTGAGGGGCGCTCCTGAGAGGCTAATATCCCGAAGGAAGCGGACGACGGCCAGAGAACAGAGGGAATCTCCCTGAAGCTACCGGGTGAGTCAGTCCCCAAGGCTAAAAGGAACAATGCAGGCATGGTGTGGGGGGTGGAGAGGTTGGAAAGCAGGCACAAAGCTGCCAGATACATCAACAAGGGGCTCCCCAGGCAGGAAGGAAACATACAGAGTCAGGTACGGCCATATGGGCCAGGATGTCAGGTCAAGTAGTGTTCATGTGAGTTCAGGGACTCAGAGAGAGGCCAGGAGGGTGCAGGATATTGGGGACGGCCTACCCAGGATGTTTTCTTCTTTTTCCATGTGTCAAAAAAAGGAGGCTGCAGGCCTGCAAGTACTTCAGGACGTTGGATCAGTTTTGCATATAGCTTTGCCGGGACATACACACGGAGGGAGTCAGGGAGCAGCAACAGGATCAGACGTAACACAGGGTTCAGTTGGTGAGTCACCTCATGCGCCACACACGGGGGGATTCATTGAGTGTCTACAATCTTTTATTAACACATTAGTAGGGGATATTCCTGAGGCTGCTTGACAAAATGTGTCATATGGGCTGCCATCTAAAGCCAGAAGTCAAGGAAAGGATCTGGAAAGGTGAGTTTGTAGAGATTTTTTTCCTCCTCCCCCTAGAGGAATATTAAGTATAGAAAGATTCCAAAACCTTTCGGAAATTGGCTTAGGGCTTTCAGTATCCTGGCTAGCGTGTTAGGAGAGAAATCACCAGATAAGTGCTCCCAATTGTTCTGTTATCAGGATGGTGTATGGGGGGCTTGCATGGTGGCGATATGACGAGCAGTTCCGTCAGCATCTGTCAGTCAATCCAGGTATGTGTTGGGATCAAATGGATCTGACACTCTGGATGAAAGTGATGATGGGGCAAAAAGCATCGCCCTTTCAATCTTAGCTGGCACCGGTTCCTGTTCCGCCTCACCGGCTATGCATAGGAGGGGATTTTCCTGGTTCTTCAATGAGGGACAGTGTAAGTGGGGGGGGCAGCATGTAGATTTAAGCACGAATGTTCAGGGTGTGGCGGTGGATACGGTTTCAATCATTGCTTCAAACAAGGAAAAAATGCACCTGCTGGAGTCACTGGAGGTGCCGCAGCATCATCCTCTGCCATTGGGGTTAATGCAGTGGTGTATCCTGGTTTTGTGCTGCCCTAGGCAGGACAAAACTCAGGCTCCACAGCGCCAGTCCCCCCGCCCCGCCTTCTAAATACACACACACACACACATTCACTGACAGATCCGCATACACTCGCTAACAGAAACACACACACACACTAAGACACACACTCACTGACACACAAACTCACACTAACAGACACACACACACAGTCAGACACACACTCACTGACACACAGTCAGACACACACATACACACTAACAGACAAACAGTCAGACACACACACTAACAGACACACACTCTCTAGCAGACACACACACAAACTCACACACATTAACAGACACACACTCACTGACACACACACTCACTAGCACACACACACATTCACTGACAGATCCGCATACACTCGCTAACAGAAACACACACACACACACTAACAGACACACACTCACTGACAGACACACACAGTCAGACACATACACACACACACTCACTGACACACAGTCAGACACACACATACACACTAACAGACAAACAGTCAGACACACACACTAACAGACACACACTCACTAGCAGACACACACACAAACTCACACACACTAACAAACACACATTAACTGACACACACACTCACTTGCAGACACACACACACACACTCACAGGCAAACACACACTCACTGACAGTCAGACACACACACACACATTAACAGACACACACTCACTCACTCACATTAACACTTTTTTTTATTCACCCCCTTCTTACCTCTGGGAGTGCTGGGGGGGTAAGGGGTTAATTACCTCCCTGGTGGTCCAGTGGCTGCTGTACGGGCAGCGCTGGGCAGGCGGCTGGCGAGGGAGCTCTTCCTCTGAGCGGTCTGCTCAGCTCCCTCGCGCGCCGCAGAGTGAGGCTGGGAACCGGAAGATGACGTCATATTCCGGCTCCCAGCCTCACTTTGCGGCGCGCGAGGGAGCTGAGCAGACCGCTCAGAGGAAGAGCTCCCTCGCCAGCCGCCTGCCCAGCGCCGCCCGCCAGCCCAGCCGGTCAGTTAGCCGCGAGGCTAACAAAGCATCTGCCCTGGGCATTTGGGGGGCGGCGTTTTTTGCCGCCCCCTGAAAAATGCTGCCCAAGGCAAATGCCTTGTTTGCCTCGCGGCTAAAACGCCCCTGGGTTAATGCCAGTGAGGGTCACTACTATGCTCCCATGGTTAAACAAGTATGGTAACCGTGAGGATGCCGTAATTCTTCGGGACAGTTTCACTTGGGGCTTTATGATACCGTTTCAAAATAGGGTGGTGGAGCATCATGCGCATAATCTATGTTCGGTTAGTGACTTTCCTAAAGTCATGCATGACAAACTGCTTAAAGAAATACAGTTGGGATGGATGGCGGGACCTTTTGTGGATTTAAGAATTTCACCCTTGGGTGTCGTGTCCAAGGAAGAAGCAGGTATGTTCTGTTTGATTCACCACCTTTCTTAACCTAAAGGGTCATCAGTGATGATATTGATGGGGTGCTCTGTTCCGTGTCCTATTCATGATTTGACCAAGCTGTTGAACTGGTTAAAAAGGCGGGTCCAGGTGCACTGTTGGCAACAGCTGATGTGGAGTCGGCATTCCGCCTGCTGCCCATTCATCTCGCGTGCCACTATTTATTAGGTTGCTTCTTTGAAGGCAAATACTACATTGATTTCTGTCTGCCCATGGGTTGCTCCATCTCATGTGCGTACTTTGAAAAATTTTGCACCTTCCTAGAATGGATAGTCAAGATGGAGGTGAGCACTAAGTTGGTGGTCCATTACTTGGACAACTTCTTATGCATCGGTCCCTCTAATTCCAATGCTTGCAGGATCAGTTTAAGAACACTGTAATGGGTGGCTAATGTTTGTGGGGTGCCACTGGCAGGGGACAAAACCGTGGGGGCCATCGTGTTTGAGTTTCTTGGGGTTCGAAATCGACATCGTGGCAGGCAAATGCCGCTTGTCACAAGATAAATTGGTTGCTCTTAGGGAACATATTGCAGAGGTGCAGGGAGCTAAGAAAGTGACATTACGCATGCTGCAGTCCTTAATTGGGCGCTTAAATTTCACTTGCCAGGTGATCCCAGTGGGGAGGGTGTTCAATAGATTCTTGGCTAAAGCCACCGGTGGTGTACGGATGCCAAGGCATTTCATCAGAGTGTCAGGAACCATGAAGGAGGACATAGGAATTTGGGAACATTTCTTGCGTGTGTTTAATGGCCGGGTTTTCTTTTGGGAAAAATCTGTCTCATCGCCTGACTTGGAGCTGTTCACGGATGCTTCAGGTAGTGTTGGTTTTGCGCGCCTTCATTGCCAGCCAATGGTGCGCTGAGTGATGGCCTGCATCTTGGGCGGCAATCATGCTCATTCAGAACTTGACGTTTTTAGAACTGTTTCTAAAAACAGTTCTAAAAACAGTTTTTGGTGATGATACTAAGATATGTAACAGGGTTGATGTTCCAGGAGGGATAAGCCAAATGGCAAATGATTTAGGTAAACTAGAAAATGGTCAGAATTGTGGCAACTGACATTTAATGTGGATAAGTGCAAGATAATGCATCTTGGATGTTAAAACCCAAGGGCAGAGTACAGAATATTTGATAGAGTCCTAACCTCAACATATGAGGAAAGGGATTTAGGGGTGATTATTTCTGATGACTTAAAGGTAGGCAGACAATGTAATAGAGCAGCAGGAAATGTTAGCAGAATGCTTGGTTGTATAGGGAGAGGTATTAGCAGTAAAAAGAGGGAAGTGCTCATGCCATTGTACAGAACACTGGTGCAGTGGCGTACTAAGGGGAGGGCGGGGGGGGCGGTCCGCCCCGGGTGCCACCAGGATGGGGGGTGCCATGGCCAGCCCCACCGCCCCCCCCCCCATGCTGCAGCCGCCCGAGCGCCCTATAGAGAGCCCCAGGCGGCTGCAGCTTTGCCCG